GTAAAAAAATTGAATCAGAAAAAATGCAAAACGAGAATGATACTGTTGATGGAGCAACCTACAATACTCGGGCACGTTTATGGAAGTAAATGTATCAATTAATTAATAATAATAATCATTAATTTAATGCAAAAAAAGAACGTGAGTAGTTTCTTCTTCTTTGAATACATACCATTCCAGAGACCGAACTGGTTTTAAAACGGAAATATTAGTAGGGATTGGATAAGGCAAGAATGGAATACCCATCCAGTTTAGACGATTCAGTTTTGTATCCGTATCAATCCAATACTGCAAATTTGAAAGGTCAAGTTTCATATATTTTAAGATATTTATAACTGAATATAATGATAAACCGTTCAATGGAAAGAAATTCTTATGTTGACATTAAGATATCTTATTAAATTTAAAATAATATTCCATTAAACGCTGCTTTTGAAGTGTAAAGAATAATCTCCCTTTCAAAGTAATTTTTAAAGACATAACCCTCAATACTGTTAGGATCCTTAACTCCACGTGATGGTACCACTTGTTATCAGCTGAATTCAAATGTTCACAAAAGTCATCCAATGTTAACTTTCCTTCATCAACACCATGTTCCAGGAGGTCGATTACTAAATGTGCTGCACGTCCAGAAATCGCACCCAAAGTCCAAAGGCTGTATACTCGAGCAAGAAGAATACTATAGTAACCAGTACAAACGTCACTGTCGTCTTTCTTCTGTAGTTTAGAAAATCCGATCCATTTTTACTTTAACATTTAATTTCAATCGTGAAAGCTATTATATAAAGAAATAATGTGATAGTTTATAGTCAAGTATGAGAGTAAAAACAACTCTCGTCATGCGAACAGAGGGGTAAAAAATGGAAATAGATAAGATACTATAAGAAGTGACTCGTCCACCGACTGACTGTCAATACTTTTCACTGATTCATCATACATGCTGGTTTGCACCCGTGAATATTGTCCTACATTACTCGCAAAGCCCTAAAATCACCAAATTATGATCAGTTACTTCTTCTAGAATTGCGATAACCAGTGAATCAAAGAAAAAACTTTACTTCGACCTAAAAAAATGACACTTAAAAATTAAATTACTTTGAAGACATTAGCTTCGATCTGCTCATTAACAACGGTCCAATTAGCCTCTGTAAGATAAGAGTCAGCTTGCCGACGCATTGCTTTTATATTTGTACGTAGAGTACGATTTAAATGTCGTTCTACGTTCTTCTCTGAATCTTTAATGTAACGTGATCGGCGATTTGTGCCTTCACGATTCGTAACATAGGAAAATGTCATTCCCTACAATTTTCCAACATTTTATGAGACAATCAACACTAACCATTTCGTATAGGAGCGTTTAGTCACTTATCAAGAAAATTGCTTACTATGCTTAGAGCTTTCTATAAATTTATGATAATAGTGCTATAAAGAATGAGGATACAGTGATATCAGCAGTGACTACCTGAATCACCAAACAAACGAAAACGGCAGAACTCGCATAAAGTACCACTTTTTCGCCAACTCGACGAGCATACGGGTCGTACTGAACACTTTCAGTAAATTCATGTACCAATAGGAGTGCCAACGCTCCCTTCAGGCCGCCATACGCCAAAAGAACGTAATCGGTATCATAGACAATATGAGAACTACCCAGTGCATTCCATACTTCACGAAACACAAGTAATGCCAACATACGAGCCATCAATGATACGGGAAATAACAGCACACCGGAGATTAAATGATAAATTACATCAATCTAAACATAGCATACTTCAACGATTCGTTCTCTGAGCTTCTGAGTTTATCATCTAACCATCAAAAAGAACTACAGGCTTCAAGGATTATCAATCAATCAAACCATAAATGATGGTTATGATGTCAAAAAAAAACATATAAGAATTCACTTCAACTGGATTATTGAAGAGCAGCAGACCAATGGCATAGCCACTGAACATAAATACAATGCAGTTAGCCCAATAACCAAATGCTGTCCAAATTTGTAAAGTCAATTCTACACTTCTGGGATTTAATCGTTCTCTACAAATCGGTGCAATATGATAAAACGAAATGGTATAAGATCGGTAAATAGCTAAAGATTATACTTCGCACTATTTTTTTTCATACGAACTTTATCGGCCTGATCACGATTTCAAGACCCTTGTGTTGCAAAACAATAAAAATCACCTAAGATAGTTCAGTGTAACACCGTAAAAGACGGTGGCTACAGCGGCCGATCCTTTGGTTACTTCACCCAACTGCCATACAAAGTATACGGAAATTACCAAAAACATCTAAAACTGTAAAAGTTTTAAGCAAGAATCATTAAAGGAAAAAAAAAATCTCTTGCATTGTGGAGAACACAAATTGCACTTAAATTCAAAGTGGATCCAATTAAGGAAAGAAAACTTTGCGTTAGTTCTCGAACTACAGAAATTCCTAAAATATCGTCCAAGAATCCCACGGAAATTGGCAAAAGAAATATTTGGTGCAATCATAGCAATTAGCAGTGTTAAAACTGCAAAAAGTAAGAGAGAAGAAGGAATAATGAATAACCTGAATTCTTTTCTCCTCACTAATACCATGTCGTATGATCATAACAGTAATATGAGCACTAGTATACCCCAACAACGGCGAAATTACGATACAGCTTACGCACATCGCTGCATAATGTACAAAAGTATACGGGTAAGATGGTAAATTTACTTCCTTCTGAAATCAAGGAAGAGTTTAAACTAAAACTTGCACAAATCAATTGATGCTTGGATATTTTTATTGTCAAAATACTGATTCATCGGGATTGGGATTCCGTAAAACTGTGTGGAAAGGCACGTATACGTTACTAACAATACTCCATGGCAAGAAAATTATGAACAGAAAAGAACTACCAAAACAAAATTGCGGAGAATTTGGTAGACAAAAATGGCTAGACCATCATTGAGTAATGATTCACCCTCTACCAATATTTTGATACGCTGTGGAGCACCGATATCTTCCAGGATTGCAACAACTGCTACAGGGTCTGTTGCAGCCAAAATTGCACCCATCAGCATGACCTATATGGCCCCAATTTATCATTATTCAGAAAACTAACGATAAATCAAATGTGCTTTATGGATGATGAGGCATACACATGCGAAAAATGACTCTGGAATGAGTTAAACGCAAGAGAAGTGTGAAAATCAGCGCGGTTTTCACAGGTAATATATATGCAATCGATGCTAGCTAGAAGGAATTAGTCAAAGTTATGATAACTTAAGCCAAAGAGATAGTATAGACCGCAGACTGCAGTCAGATATTTCGTGCTGAAAGTGGGACTTCTGTAGCTTGCATTATTAATGCTTTACAGTAAAAAAAAACACTTTTGCGATCTTAAAAGCGGATAATTAAAAAAAAACTCACAAAATGACGGTGTAAACATGTGTCAATTTATTATAAAATAAGAAAAATTACATAGAATTCGTCAGATTCAAAACAGAGAAAACAGAAAATAAAATGCTTTGAAGCGAAAGGAAGTGAAACTCATTGAGCCATAACCAGTCTACTTTGCATATTTTCTAGTGATGTTCACGGTAAATGAATGGTACACGTACATGGCGAAGGAAATGAGTAAGACTAAGCAGCATAATTTTTATGCCGCATTCCAGAAATACTATAAACATTGTACCAAAGACCTCATCTGATATTGATTTGAATGAAATTTAAAATCTGTATTTTAATTTTCAATTTTCATTTAGATCGGTAAGTCATAACAGTGATAATCATACTAACCGTGAATACATTCCAGTTGTCCATAATTCGCAGAAATGGTAGCATTAAGGCAGTGTATAATATTAGTGTTAATAAATAAACAGTAGCGGTCAGCGCGAATAATAGCCATTGCTTGCGAAAGAATAGATGTGAATTGCTTTTCACCGCAGATTCAAAAATAAGTAACGGTAGAAGAACCTAAATGAGAGATTAATTCTGACCGAAATAGCTTGCTTGCTTGCTCCATTTCAAAAAATGAATCTCTGTGTGTCGCACCGTTTGCACTGATTGTAATTGATATCATAAACGTACTCCAACAACAATGCCAGGTTCGACGGTCTTCCACGTGTAAGTCTCATCGATGTGTGCCATCAAATTTTCTGGGAAGAATAAGTGAAGAATGAAACTGAAATATTAAGCAATCGTTGAAGTAAAGTTTGCGTAACTTAAGTCATTATTTAACAAATTCCAATCTATCAATTTTGATTCTTTATTCTCCATCGAAGAAGCTTAAGGTTCATTGATTTTAAGATTTCATCGTGATTATGCATTTTAATCACTTGGCTTTTTTGATCACGCCAAATAAAGGGCTTCAAATATATTTTCGCATAAACAAAATTAGTTGAAAAGTTAGGAAAATGAGAAATTGGACATAATTAATTAAGTAGTTAACATTAAGAACAAAACAGTAATAAATGTTAATAAGTCGTGAGTATTATTGTATAGAGATGCACAACGAGACAATTTAGTTTTGATGGGTTTTAAGAATGGAAGAAGGATGAAACCTTGTGCCAAGTGCAAATAAGAAAATGAGAATAGTATCCGGTATGCGGAGAAATCGGATGCGACGATTTGTAGCATCCAGTACAAGACCGGTAACAAGAGCCAGAAATGGAAATAAGAAAACTTGCAATGATTTGAGCATACCACTGCATACAAGCGCTTACTTTATCTTAACTAAACGTAATAATAAATTTCCCTTAACTGTTTCGCTTCTTTTGTATTTTTTGTCTAAACTCCTTTTTATAAGTTTTGCATAAAATTGCAAGCGAATTTGTGACCAAGTAAAAGTAATCCGTCAACAAATCTGGACAATAACTGCTTGGGATGAGATTTTACGTTGAATGACCGCATTGTTTGTAATATCATTAAATAACGTGGTGAGTGAAGTTGAGGTTCGTTTCTTTTTTCTTGGACGATTTGGTTTGTTCATAAAGGGCGTGAAGGGTTACATATAATTGGACTGTTGATGGATGGGATCTGCAATAGCACAAGGTTCGAGTAATTCGAAGCGCACTGCTGCAGATCAGAAGGAGAAACAAAAGACAACGATCAATAGCGACTCTATGATTGTTTCACAAAAGAGTCGGATGGTAACTTATTACTGATAAACTTAATACGGACAAATCGTTCAGTTTAATCCTATCATTCATCGAATTCTAAAAACCAGCTTCTAATATGTAGTGAAAATGTAAGTACCGCATTACAACATAATAACTGAAAATTGAAAAGGGTTGTTGATTAATTGCAGGCGAAAGTTATGCTGCGAAATAAGGATAGTGATAAAAGTTATTGAACTCAACAGAATAAATTGTTTATGTTTTTCATGTCTTAGATTTTATATTTGCTTTGTTTATTTCAGGAGAATCAGAAAATTTCGAAAAATATCAGTAATCGAAAAAAGACTCGAAAAAAGCGAACATCACTTATTTCTACAACGAGTAGTGCGCTTGACACATCTCTGAGTGGATTTGAAAACATGTCTATCCAACGCAAAAATGTTTTTGGACATACGGAAATGCAGTCTGCAACTCAGGTAAGTTTTATTTTATTTCCATAGTCAAGTGCTTGCTGCATCAAATCAGGATACATTTTAGTTCTTCGAGTTTTTAGCCTTAAAGAAAATCTTTTTTACAATCCTAGTGACCAGTATGTTTCATGAAAATTTGCCGTATATATAGGATAACGGTCATTTGAATTGGAAAGTGAACGATATATCGTCTGAAATGAATTCAGAAGTTCGTAACTTTTGGGAACATCCGGTCTTGGGTTCTTCTCACGAAAAACGCTCCAAAAGGAACAAGCTGAAAAATTCCTCGGTCTATAACTTTTGAATAATTTTACACTTCGTATTTCAGTTCTTAAGAAAACTTGCCATTTTACTGGCATACTTATCTCAGTCTCTTCATTTTATTTCTTATGAACTCGTAGATAAGTTTTTCAAAATAGATGATTTGCAGTTTCGTTTGGTAACTCTTGCTACAAGTACTTCCGTAAATGAACATGCAAATGCTGTTGCAAGATGCAATGAGCCAGATGTAATATCATTAAGTGGTAAGGAAGGGAGTGAGAATCTGGAAGATGATGCTGAATTTACTTTAGTCGAAAAGGCAGGTGATACTGATGACCCTAAATATTTATCTTCAAGTTCTGTGAAATTTTTCATCACTATTAATAATCTCACTTTAAGATTATTTGGAAATGAGTGCTCTTCGAACTTTTAAAATATTGCAAGTTATGAACGAATGAGTAATCGAAGGAGAAGTGCAATAATTTTATAGCTTTATACTATTAATTACAACCTTTTAAAAACAGTGCAACTTATAAATGCTTTAAATTTTCGTACTAAGGCGCTCGCAAATTATATGGTTGTCGTGATTGAAACAAACTACTTAGTGTCCAATAAGTTGTCTATGTTTTTGTCATTAGTTCATAATTATACTTTTTTAAAACTAAGCAATTAAACATGTGGAACTGAGTTTCAGGATAATGATTTCAGTACGGAATTACAAACTGCACCGCTAGTCAGCAAAGCAGTTCTAAATTCTTTAACTGCTTCTAACGAATTAGAAAGAAGCAAACTTGTAAATAATGCAGTTTCTGAGAAAACTAATAATGCCAGTGTTTTAGAAAATGAAGGTACTATTTCATTTAGTAATTCAGCTGAAAAATTAATTTCTGAAACTAGACGATGTGCTACAAGAAACGTTTTTTGAGGTTGACTGAAAGCATAAAGCTCATTCAAGTTGCAGGCAATAGTCTAATTCTAAGAAACAAGGAACAAATGAAATTGGATGTAGTTTGCAAAGAGAAGAAACAGTTCACCACCAAAGTATGTTTTCATTTTACTACCAAGTTGTGAATTCCTATTTGTTTTTGATAATTTTATATTACGCATTTTTTCCATTGCTTTATAAATTCTTTTGTTTTGTAATTATTTTAGGTACCATTAAGAAGTGGTCCACTTTTGATTCGAAAAAATTCTTTTGATGGATTTAATTTAATCCCTGGCACGCATAAGTTTATTCAAAATGGCGAAATAGAGGTAAATTTTTAATTTATTAACGGCCTTCATTTCACTTTCTATTTTGCGTTTGATTTTTTGCTGAATTTCAGGTGAAAATTGAAAAGCCAAAAGGGAAGGATTTTATTCAACTCATTTTATTTGAATGCTGTGGCCCGTTGGAAGATCCTAAACAAGTCACTCGAGGTGGATACAAGATATGTGCATCAGCTGTATTACATGAGAATACATCTGTGGAAGTAATACGTGCGGCGCTTGTTGACTTAGCTGAACAACTTGAGCGAATATCTCGTGATTCGTTTTATGGTGGTGAATGTGCAGCTTGTTTGAAATTCAGTTGTTTATTAAACTATCTTTAATATTTGGTATGTTTAGAATATAGTGTAGAGATGTTTTAATTTAGGCGAAAAGTTATCTTATTCGGTGAGTAAATACTCTTTGTCTTACTTGGAGAAGCAGTACATTTATCCGCTGAAAAAGAAATCTTCAAGTTTTCCACGTGCTCTCTACTACTGTCAGTTATGCAAGTATCATATCTGTTCAATTTCTCAAGCAGTAACGCATTTCTTGGCACAAGAACACATTGACAACAAGGAAGTGAGCGTTTTAACTGCTAATGAAGAAATTTTCAAAACAATCCAGCTGTACGCTGGAAGATTTTCATGCAATATAAAATCTCTATGTTTTCAGATTTTTATAGTCTATTTCTTTTCCAATATATATCATTCACATCTAATCATGGATCTGTATTTCTCTCAGTTTAATAAAATATAGTTACAGAAGACAGAGTCGCTAAAAAAGCTGGCATGTTTGCCAGGTCCGGTCAGGGAGCAGATGTTCAAAGTAGACCAGATCATTCGAGAATTATACATTTTCACTGGACTTACGGATGTACGGTGTGAAGTTGGGTCACAAATCGCGAATTTATTATCAGATTTTTTACAAAACAAAGCTCACAGAAGTGTGCTTTTCCTATTTTTTATGGTTTAATGTCAACTTAGATTTAGTTGAATATATCATTACAAATCATATTACTATATTTATGCTGTGTTGATACTCTGCTTAAAATTATAAACAAAGTTTTCATTAAATTATTGAAACCGTGATTATGTGCAGTGGTATGAATTATTAACAAAACCGAATGATCTGCATTCGGTTTTGTTAAGATTTTAAGATTCTGAATTCCTCATCAATTTCTTTTTTTTTTTTTTTTTAAACAAAAATATGCAGATTATTCGGTGATGGTTTATGGCTCATATCTGACAAGGCTAGCGACTGTGCATAGCAATCTGAATTTATCACTGAATTTTCCACTGGAATACTCGCTTGGTCATGCATTGTCAGAGGTCATGGAAGTTCTAAATGATACAGCATTAGGTATTTTTTTTTCTACTTCCTGTACTCTTTATAATTTCCCGAGTTATATAGCTTAAATTTATAATTGCGAATTTTTTGTAATTAAAAGTATGGATTTTTCTCTTTCAGAGAAAAACTTTACTGTCCATTCTATAACTCCCGATTTTCAACGTCCGGATCCTTCGATTCACTGCATTGTAAACTCCATTGCCGTTGTTATTACAGCAAATTGCGTTCGACAGCAGCGTGCTACCCAGCTTGTTAATTTATATTGTACAATTTGTTCACAATTCAGGATTCTCGCTACTATCTTTCGTTCATGGGCGAACGTATGAATAGATTTTATTCTCTTATGTTGCTAAATTTTTTGTTTTGCTAGCATTTTTATCTTTAGAATCGTTCAGAAAATATCTTGGATTTAGGAAAAAATAAAAGTATTTATTGATTCATTTTATTCAGAACATTCATATACTCGGATGAATAAATTTAACATCTGCGCAGCTGAACTCTGCATTTCTCTAAGGATGCTGAGATCCATATATTTCATTCTTAATCTCAATCATGTTACTTGTTGAAGACTAAGATTCCGAAGTAAATTCGATTTCTGTGTATGGTTTTAAATACTTTTGTAGCTGTGTTCGTTGACCAATATACAGTTGGGTGGTATACCGAAGTTTGCTTTTGATATTATATTAATTTACTATCTGCAGCACAAGGGATTACTTCCTTTCGTCTTCGAGGTATATTTATGAATTATTTCAAAAAATCTCTATTTTCCCCGAAATTATGAATATTGGTTTGTTTTTATCAAGAGAAATTAAAAAATAGTAATGTTTAGCAGGAAAGAAGATCCAAACTTATCATAATTTCAGAGTTTTCCAAATATCTAGTGCTTAATAAGTCAAGTAATGGAATCATTGCAGATTCTAAGTGAAGAAGAAATGCTACTGCTAGACAGTGAAAATCTCGACTTTGACCATCAAGTGGATAAGATAGTGTGTTCTTTTTTTTTCTTTTTAATTCTGTAAAGTAAAATGCATTTTCAAATGGTTGTCTGTTTTAGAATACTGGTTTCGGTACTGGCAGTGAAAAATGGAATTTCGGCGAAATTTGGATTGATTTATTCCGTTATTACGCTATTGAACATCCTGTTGAAGAACTAATACAAATACGTTTGAGAAAAAGATATTTGTCAGAAGACTGTACGCGTTGGAGCAAAAAACGGCTTGCCGTCGAAGGTTATATTACTTTGATTATTGAGTAAAATTTCAGCCAGTGAGATAAAAATAATCCTGGTTTCTGAATTTTCTAGATTTGTACAACATCGCAGTTATATTTTTCTCTCCTTGCCTAATACGGAGAGGTTCTTGCACTATTGAAAGAAATTATTTCCATTATCATTTTTTACTTTTTGAAAAATGTAGGAATAGTTTGACTTATGTTTTTTGTTTTTCAGACCCATTTGCTCCGTATCACATAATGCAACCACAGCAGCGCATAAATGGTTATTTCTCAAGTTGCTTTTTGTTTACTTATTTTCATTTTGCTTTGCCGCGCACTATTGTTTGTTCGCTAATTCCATATTCCGTTATAACACCCGGAACTGTTGCTGTGCAGACGAAAAAGGTAGTTTTCATGTATTGTACTCTTTCATTTGATGTAACTTTTTATTTTTTATTTGAATAAAATCACTTTTTTCATTTCAACGTCATTGTAGAGAAGAAAACACAGGTCGAGAAGAACCACGCTGTTGAACGGTTCTTGTTCTGATGAAGCTGCAGCAAATAATAATCAACAAATAAACAAAAGTGATTTGGATGACGTCGATAATTTATATCAAGGTTTCTTTTCGAAATAAAACTGATGCAACTGTAGCAACACCAGCTCCCACAGATTAATAATTTTTTTAATTTTTATATTTCAATCTTTTAGATGTAACTCTAGAAGCTATCAGGTTGGAGACCGATGTGAGCCCGCAAGGAATTTCTGAAGTAACCGAAACTAGATTGAAAGATGTGAACCAAATCTGGACAAACAAGGTGATTTTGGAATTTTTCTTAGTTAGATGCCATAATATGACTAAAGATGATATTTTTGTAAATCAGTTTTATGCTGAAAGAAGCTTTGTTTCAAAAACTAACAATAAAGATTGGTATAGTATTGATACTTAAAATGATTTTTTGATCCTAGTTTTAAGCTGTTATAGAGCAGATTCCTTTCAGAAAATGGCCAGTTTTACGGATTAGTTGTAAAATAGCTATTTTTTGTCCAGTATCAATTCCTTGTAGTTATTTGTTTTTTGGTGAAAGGAAAGAGAAATAAAGCAACACAAAAAAAGATTAAATGGAAAGAGAAGTGAACGAATTGAATAAATTTTGATATTTTTGGAATTTTAGTTTACTGAAATAATAGGATAGCGAAAGTAAATTATGACAATGAAAATTTTTTGTCTACACATACATTGGGATACTGATGCATATATCGTTAAACTGTTAAAACAGAACTTTAATTTTTTCTGCAGACTTTAATCTGGCATTGTAATGGGGTAGTAAATTTTTGCATTATTATCAGCTTCTTAGCTGACTAATAATTCATTTAAATAATTAAAGTATAGGATTTGAATACGTCTCTTAGCAGCGAATGTAGTAATCTTGTAGAAATATCCAGCAGATTTTCAGAGAATGTTATTTTTATTTCATATTTTTTGAGGATATGAACGATGAAAATTCATTACTATATGGGGAACACAAGGATTTAGAAATGTCATTTTCTGATCCTGTTACTTCGTGCCTGGATTTGCATACGTCTCATAGTGATTTGCAAAGAGATGATGCTGGTGAGACGTGTTGCGACCGTAATGTGACGTCAACTTTCCAACAGCATGGTATCCACTTCAAGGAGCTTCCTTCAGTTGGTTTCACTTCTTTGAAATCTTGGAACTTCGAAGTACTTTCACTATGAGTGAGTTTGAAACTTCGAATTTTTGTGCACTGACCATAAATTTCTATGACTGGCGCCAGAAATTTCTTTGTTTTCAACTCATTTTTCAGAGCAAGTTGCTTTTTAACTTACATGTTTTGTTATACTAGCACAAAGCGTACTGACTTTTTTTTAAGCTTTTTTTTTTTGATTTCTTTTCACAACCACTTGGAATTCGAGATATCATTGAAATTACCATTGCTTTGTTTCAGCGAATGAAAGAATTCAAATTGTCGGCGGCTGCTGTCCAAAATTGCGGAAATTTATACATCAGGGAAGAATATAAAGTATAATTTTTATAATGGCTTTTTGTTTCTGTTTTTAACTTTTTAAATGAATTTAATTGCTGTATTCATTATCGGATTTTTAGAACTGAATTTCAGGGAAGAGAATTGGCTGGGAACAGGCTTGCAAATGCTTCGATTTTGAATATTAAATTTCATGATTATGATGAAATGGCTATTCGCAAGTTATGGTTGACTTTAAATAATAATGATTATGATTATCCATGGGCTTTGCACTTCTTCACGGGCGGATTGGTATGTCAGTTTAGATTATGTGGTAAAGGGATTTACTAAACATAACTGGAATGAATATATTCAGAAGGCTTGAAAACCGAAATTACCTTGAAATTTTGCGAAAGTAACCTAAAAAAATGAGGTTTTTTAAGCTGTGACCCCTATTTTTGTTTCCATTTCGACAACTGATGCAGAGGATTGCTTCACACTTTACAGTTCTAAATTCATATTTGACTTACTTTTTCAGGAACCAGTGGTACGGTGCACATGTTGTAATGCAGATGGTCATTTGCGTGAGAACTGTCCTGAACTTGTGATTCCAGAACCCAAAAATTTCCCACCAATGACTAATGCACAAAAGAAAATAATTAATCTTATCATCTTCGATATTTTCAGTATTTCTTTTCAAATATTTTTGCAAAAAAAAGTTTTTAAGTGTTTTTGAAAAAGTGTATTGGTAAACTTCCATCCGTCAGTTAACGTATTTGCATTTAAGCGGCTTTTTTCAAACTTTACCGTCTAGTTGGTTCGAGTGTCATCAAAGTTACATTCTTCCCATGCTCTCGCATACTTCCCGTTTTTTCTAATGGTGCAAATTCAAAATATGAAGAGTTTGGAAATAGTTTGCATCCCTGAATGCATTATATCCTATATTCAACCCCAGATTTCACAGATAGTCGAAAAACGGAAGTCATGAGAAAAGGAAGTAAAATGATTTTGAAGCAAAAAATAGAGATGAAAAAATATTGTGAAGGAAATAAATAAACCGTGCTTTTCAATAGAGAGAGAGAGAGAGAGAGAGAGAGAGAGATGTTCGATGAAATGAATGTTGGCAAGTTGAAGGAGTTGTAATTTTCAACAAATATATTTTTCAGATACAATGAGAATAAGACCCTATTATGTGCATCATATGTCAGCACTCTGCCGCGAACTTGAAGGTTTTCTTCGACGTTTTTATCGTACTGATTGTCATCTTTCATTGTTTGGTTCAGCTGGAAATGGATTCGGTCTTTTAGGTTCAGATGCTGATATCTGTCTTCAGTTCGGACCAGGAGTGAGGCCTGAAGTGAATTTTAAAGTTACTTTTTATTTGTGTGATCAAAGTTTTTGCAATGTTCTAATTAAAAATTTATGAAATTCAATTTGTTGATAAGTTTTTCAAACTACAGATGAAAATTTTCGTAAATTTGACCATTTTGTACTAGATGTGATGTAGTTTTTTAGGATATCGATTCGGTGGAAGTCATAAATAAAATAGCGGAAGTGATTCGTAAAATGCCTAATGTTGTGTATGTCTGCGAAATCCCACATGCTAAAGTACCAATCGTGAAGTTTCGTTGCCGTAATCATTATAATCTTGAGGCAGAGTAAGTATTTTATGTTACGCAGAAAGGACATGCCTCACTTTTTTTCATTTAATTGTTAAAATTTGTGACTAAAATGTATTTCTAGTTGAGCCTGTTGATAAATGTAATATTTTACATTTATTAATAATTGTTGGATTGTATTACGTAGTTTTTTATTTTGAAGTATTTTCAAATATTTTAACTGCAATAACTTATTAGTTTTTCTTAGATTTCAATTGATTTTAGTGTGTCGCTATATAACGTGCTAGCGTTAGAGAATACACGCTTGCTACGGACGTACAGTAAGCTTGATCGTCGAATACATCAGTTAGGAATAATGACTAAAATATGGGCTAAAAACTGCGAAATTGGAAATGCATCGAAAGGAAGCCTATCATCCTATTCATATATCATCATGCTTATTCATTATCTTCAACGAACAGATCCACCAGTCGCTCCATTCCTCCAGGAAGTTTGTTTTGCTTTGCATTATTTTGCGAATTCGATCTTTTATTTTATCTTTTTTTTTTAACTTCATATTCTATTTTATTATGTCGGCAGTACTTGTTTTTCGATACTTGTTGATATTGGTTATATGAACTTTGCAATAATTCATTACTGAATTTGCTTATGATGACTTTCTTTTAGGTAGCACCGCCTGGAAGATGTAGAGAACCAATAATAATTGATAACTGTGATGTGTACTTTTGTAACTTTGAAGATTTGGTTAGTTACTAAATTCTCAATTTATATCGTGTTCGCTTTCTTTAATTCAAATTTTTTCCTTGGTTATTTTTTATTTTTCTCGAAAGATATTGCTGTTTTATCTGTATTACTTGTAAATTGTATTATGCTAGGAATGGACAGTCCACAATCGGTTAACTGTTGGAGAACTGTGGATAGGCTTTCTGGATTATTTTGCGACGAAATTTGATTTTACACGAGAAGTTGTACAAATTCGACAAACTCCACCGCTAATGAAGTTGGACAAAGGCTGGCAATCCAGACCAATCGCTATTGAAGATCCATTTGATCTCAGTCATAATCTTTCCTCTGGTGTTCATTCCAAAAGTAAGAAAAATTTAAGTGTTAGGTAGAATAAAAAAGAGAATGAAATATCAATTATTGTCTAATTCATTGTAATTTGTGTGTCTTAATTGAAATATGTTATTATATAATCATTTGCTTTAAATCACTTAACTCCTCGAAATTTCTCTTTGTTTTCTGATTACATTCCAAATGATTAAAAAGATAAATGATAATATGAGTTAATATGGCATGATGTTCCTAGTTTTTAATTAACTCTGAAGTTAGTGAACAAAAATAATCGAAAAATGAATGTTAAAAGAGAAAAATATGTTAAAGAGGAATACACTTTCAGCAATGGCATATATACAGAAATCATTTATACAAAGTCGGGAAAAATTTAATACCTTATCGGTCGTCCCAAATTCAAAACTAAATCACAATTCACTTGTACTGTATGCGGTAAGCCTTTCTCTTTCTCGGTCAATTTTTCTAATATGGTGTCTTAGTGAATCCCTTTTTTGTACTATGAAGGAATAAATATTAGCGGAGTGATTTTCTCTATTTTAATTTCACATTTTTGTTTATTTTTTCAGTCTCTCCTGCTTTCAAGCTGTCGTGTGGGCAATGGTCCTCCATTGGATCGCAACTGTTGCCACCGATGTCGGCAGGTTGGACATTTTGTGATGGATTGTCCTTTGGGAATAAAAGATAAGAAACGAAATAAGTAATTCTTCAGTTTGAAATTATCTTCTTGCTTTCTGGTTGTATATTCCATCTTTGAACAAAATGTATAAAGATTTATGCACAAATCTAGATAATAATAAAAAATAATATTTTAGTGTGAAGGAAGTATTTCTATATACTTAATTGCTTATTATCTATAATTTCTCATCAGTACTTTTTTAAAAATATGATATGTAGTTTGCGAATTTAAAATCAATGAAACATTTGATGCATAATCAACCAAAAACCGTCGAGAATTGTGGGTAAACATGAGAACATAGAATAACCATGGATGATGACCTTCTGAAAAGCATGGGTAATAAACATGAGCAGTAGAAAATCTGATACAGTGTCTGATGCACCTACTCTAAAGAACTCATTTGCATTTCACTGAGCAGAAATTTTTAATTTTTCTTAAAGGATTTCTAATTTCTGCTAGGGTGGGTAATTTTCTGCATAATTATTTGCTATGCATTTCATATGTTTTTGAGATAAGGAATCTGCATGAAGTGTTTACTTATTATTCAAACCATTGTTATTCTTGATATTATATTTGTATAATATCAATCGGTGTGTGAGATCGAAATATTTTAATTCATCGCGCTAAATTAACTTCATCGTACCTAATTTTTGCTTTCTTTTTTCTCTTATGCATTGTTCAAATCTCAGCGAATTATCCACAGTTGCTGTCGGTTTTATTAATTGTTTGTTGCAATTTAATAATTCATTTGTTAATCGTGGCCTGGAAAATAAAAATTACGGAGGGTCGCCTTGGATATAAATATTGAACACTAAATGGACTAAGGACTTTTACCATCACTGATATAATTCCTTTACTTTTAATTTATTTGATACATTGTTTTTTACTATGATATTACTTCATTTTATATTTATTTGGTGGAATAAATTATGAGAAATATCCTTTAGTTCACGGACAAAAATTTTCGTCTTTGTTCGATTCTATATGCAACGTTTCTTTAGGTAGTGCTAATCTGAAAACCTCTTAAACTAACCCAGTTTCTGGTACCATCAGTGATCACCGCCAAAATAATTTAAGGAAATCTCAACAATAGCGACCAAGTCAAGCATAATGTAAAGTCAATTGGAAACTAATGTTATCATTATCATTATTTTGCTTTCTCTCGAACGTAGCAGTTCACTAATTCACATATATATTGGCCACTATTCGTTTGCACATTCTACTTATCTATTTAAGATTTCAAATACAACAGGTTGTTTTTGTTCCTTTATTTTATTAGTATTTAATCCTTAATAGGAACTTTTAGAAATTTGATGAAACGCTACATCTGATAATATTTGTGTATTCTCTCATCTCTGAACACCATTTGTTTTTTCCACCAAATTTTCGTGCAATGAAGTAATGCTAGGAATGAAATGAAATGTGTTGGAATAGTTCACTTTACTTCTGTAAAACTCTTGACCCGTTCTTGTTTACTGTTTTTATTCCAATTGTGTTCGCGTTTTGTTGTGCTTTGAATTTTATGTCAACTGGAGTAAGTTTTCACCCATATCATGTACTGATATGTTCTTCAAATTTGATTATAAAGTCTTCAAATTTTCTTCATCCCGAGAAACCTAGTTTCCTCAACGAATTTAGTTGTTCAACTAAATTCTTTTTTCTCATACATAATTTTTCTTTTTATATGTGATAAGTATACTCTAAGACATGGTGCTTTTTAACTTGCCTTTTCCTCTTTTAAGAAACGGAAACATTATACGACAAACCGTGCGGTGGTTAAGATTTATTTGATTTCCTGTCTGAATTTAACATTACTCTTTGTGAAAACCAAGTTACGAGTTCTCTTGCTTTTATCAATTAATTTATGTTTCAAATTTGAATTTAACTCGAGTTTCAGCTAAGTCGATTGTGTTATAGTGCTTTTGTATTTATATTCACACTTGCTCGTATTATCTTTTCCATAACCATTTGCTAAATCAGGATTGCTATTTGATTATTGATGTTCTAACAAGAAGAACGCGGCTTACAGTTTATTATATCGCAGTTTGCTTGAGATCTTCCTATAATCATGGCGAAATTAATCTGTATATTTTATGCTCTTTTCATCACTTTAGCTCTTCTGTCATTCAGTTTTGCATTATCTCGTTATAGAAATGTCATTATTTTCTCGTTATTAATCCATTAAAGTTTTTGATCAGTTGGAAGAGAATAACCTTGGAGTAACTTAAACTGTTCACACTTAATTTGATATAACGCGTAGCGGCGAACGCTGTTGTATGCTACTACTTATAGAGGCAAGTTTTTTAATTACTTGGGGTTTTCAATCATTTTTAATTTTCGTGAATTTAGAATTACGCCAGGGTGGGCGTGATCGGAGTAGATGAAATTAGTTCAACTGTAGACATTATATTTTTTGTAGACGCTAGTTCGTTCAAATCACAGTTCTCAATAAACTCTGTGTTTTCTTGGCTGTAAATACTTGTTAAAAAAAAGACGTTACATTTGAAGAGCTAAGCTGATTCCTATCATAAAATTTGTTTTTGCGCTTTTCAGAAAGCTATCTGAAATCTTAAATTTATAAAACCATACAACAGAAGAGACAGTTGTAAAAGTTATATCGGATAAGTGTTGTTTTACAAAGGGTTCTGTGCAGGCAGGTATTAATTGATGCAGTTAACGAATCCAGTATGGATTCATCACTCAGGTAAGTGTATGGTTAAATTTCATGCAAGCTGAAGATTTTGGGAATTTTATATTCTTGATATGGTTGTTCTCATGTATTCGCTAAATGCTTCTATTTGCTAGAAAAATATTTGATTAATTAGTCTACATTTTCATTCCTTTTTATAATTTTCAAATTTAGGTGGTGCAATCTACTCGGTAGATATTCATCCAGACGGTACGAAGATTGCTACATGCGGACAAGGTGGTGAAGGTGGTTCAGGCCTCGTGATCATTTGGAATGTGAAACCAGTGATTAACGAGAAAGCTAGTCAGGAGGCATCATGCAGTCGACTACTCTCTCGAATACTTCATCAAAGTAATTTAGAAGATCTTCATGTCATGCTTCCTATATTCATTAGGGTTGCTTAATTGCTCTCACCCAAACATGTCTCGCATTATCCTATTTCTTTACGTCTGTAGCCTTATCGAGATGTATGGAAGTTGATAGCGATGAAGCGAGACTAAGGGAACACTAGCAGGTCACTATATCTTCGTGCTACTGCTATCCTTGCTTTCATGTGTGATGATTACAACTATTAAATTTTTGTACGTAATGCTTTATTAATTTAGATTGTGTTAATTGTGTTCGTTGGTCTCCGGATGGGACATATCTTGGATGTGCTGGTGATCAACAATCACTAACACTCTGGGAATTCGGTGGCCGAGTTTTCAGTGCTGGAACGATTGGTTCTAAGGTAATTTCTTCATCAATGAAATCATTCATTTTTGTTTTCTTAGAAAGTACTCATTCATAACAAATTATTGAATATATATACTTAAAAAAAAAGGTATATATACTTTAAAAATCTTTTTTTAAACTTTCAGCATTATCATTTCTACACTCTTCTTTGAAGGCGAATCAGTTAAGATGTCAAAACATTTATATTTATAAATGATACATCTTTCAGGATTCCGTCAATGTTGAAAAATATCGGGAAAAATATCGACTGTATGGCCATTCATTAGATGTGTTACATCTTGAATGGTCTAAAGATGGCCGTTATCTTGCATCCTGTGGGATGGATCATTCCGTGATCATTTGGGATGCCCATAATTTACCGAGTATGTGTTTTTATAACAATTTTTGTAACATTGTTTTTTTTTTTAAAGATTTCTGTGCTGAAAAGGTTCTGGAGTTTTGTTCTTTTGTATGTCAACTGATTTTGTTAACTGTGGTGTTCGCAAAATTCTCAGACAAAGTGGTATCATTAACAGTCGAACGAGGTGGACATCAGGGTATTGTAAAAGGAGTAAGCTGGGATCCAATTGGGAAATTTCTCGCTACTCAGTCAGCTGACAAGTCTGTGAGAATCTGGACAATCGATAATTGGCAGTGCATCAAAGTAGTAATGGATCCGTTTATTGAGGTTTGTTAAAGAGAAATTGCTAACAGCTTGCAGCAATAACTCTTCATGCATAAAGAAATTACAAGAATTTCTCGAATTTTCTAACAATGAAACATTAGTTAGTCGATTAGTCTTCCAGTGAAGCTTTAGGTTTAAATAGTCTTTCGCAGGAAAATTCGTTCTAGTCCTTTAAATTAAAAAGAAAAAAGCAGAATTCGAAACCCTGGAAATGATTACATGTTTTTGCAGAGTAGCCAGTCTACCATGTTTTGTCGATTAGATTGGTCACCAGATGGTACTTATTTGATAGCGCCATGTGCGAGTAATAACTCGGGGCCAACTGCCCACTTGATACGACGAAAGGTGAACAATTTTTGTGCAGACACAATTTATTCTCACTATTACTTTGCACTAGGACTAACTTTTTTAATAAGTTTATTTAAAAAGGGATTGCTTATATATTCATTAACATCTATATTTAGGATTGGGATACTACGTTGGATTTAGTTGGCCATCGGAAAGCTGTAACAGTGGTTCGGGCTTGTCCTCGTATGATTGAATATCAGAACTACAAGGTTTTTAAATTAAAGTGATTTAATAATTTGAGAAGCACTGAAAATTTTTTTTACAGAATCATTTCATAAGTTTTTTTTTACTTAAGCTTTTTCATACTTTTTACTCTACTTCTTTATTTTGTACATTCTCGGTTTATTGATTTAATGTCTCTATCTTTCCTATCTTTTTTTTATCTTTGTGTACTTTAGCTTTACGTATGACTTATATTCTGTGGTTCTCTATCAAATTAAAGAAATTTTATTGCAGGGCAATCGCCTTCAAGTGAGCTGTATAGCAATGGGTAGTCGTGACAAATCATTAAGCGTTTGGTTGTTGCCAAATGTAGATCGACCTTTAGTTGTCTTGTACAAGCTTTTTAAGCATTCTATACTTGATTTTT